TGCCTCTAGCTCTTGCAGTGAGTACGACTGCAGGGTAGCATATCTCTCCTAGGATGCATTTTCTGAATTTTTCCCCTGCGTCGCTTCTATGCTGTGAATTTGCTGCCTGCAGCGACACTGAGCACGCTGGACAAAAAAGCCCCTTCTACTGAGAAAGCTTCACTGGTCAGACACCTCAGTTCCTGTTTCAGTGTGCAGAAAGTTCATTGCTGCTGCTGCTGCTTCCCCGGCCATTGTTCGGAGAGGCTGAAGGACCCCATTCGACTCAGGCAGACAGGGCGGTGGGAGAGGGGCGGGGAGCGTGTGTCATCCATTCACCACACCAAAAACTGCCTTCCCTGCCTAGTCCCTGAGGAACCCTCATTTCCGATTTTCATGCACATCAAGAGCAAGGAAATCCTGTGGTGGGGGAGACGGAGGGGAGAGGGCAGAGCATCCCGGGGCGTGCAGCGGGCGCTGAGCTCCGGCTGCATGCTGCGGTCGGAGCGGTTGCAGGGGGAAGCCAGCTGCGCGTTTCGGACGGAAGGAAGCCCATCTGCCTCGAATCACGTTTCTTCTTCTCCCTCCTACCTGGAGAAGGGGCGCACAGGTTCACCGCCTGCAAGCGGCACCCGGTTGCCCTCTTGGGAGGGGAGTTGTGTCGGGAGCGAGCCGAGTCTGCGGCCGGAGCCAGGGGGGAGAGGAGCCGCTGCCGGGGAGGAGGCAGCGGGGCACGGGTCTGGCCATCGTTTTGCTGGGCCGTTTCTTGCTTTGCTTTTAATCAAAGCGCCTAGGTAGGAGCGAGCTGCGTTATTCTTTTACAACAGAAGTGCAAAGATAACCATAAAGCGTTTCAGGAAGCATCGCAGTGGGACACCACTGTGGCCCACAAGACGAGCGGGTCTGGGCTTCGTCCCGTCCCCGACCAGCTGGGCTGGTTTAGCGCAAATGATTTCAGCCGGAGTGATGGTTGTATACACACTCGGATAACGGTAATGAGCCAAGGGTTTAAAGCATCGCGCTCTCGCAACTGCCGCTGAAGGCCAAAGCGGAGGGAGGCTCTGGCTTTCCTCTGCG